GCGGGACGGTGGGAGGAATAGGGCCAACCACGTAGTAGATAACCATACGAGGTGCATTGTACGTCCGCGGAAGGAAGGAAGGCAGGCAGGCTGGCAGGCAGGCTGGCAGGCAGGCGCAGGTCGGCAGGCGAAAAAAATGCATGCGATACAGGTCAGATCGATCTTCCCGTTTCGTTGGTTCGTGCGCGTCGACGCGTGCCCGAATGAACATGTCAGGTGAGCCGGCAAACGCGTATCGAATACGCGTTCAATTATCTATGCCACTTTGCACGGGCATCCACACGGTGCCTTCGCGTTCGGCCGACCGGTGACGAATTCCGTTCCGGTGCCTGCGATAATTGAACTTCTGGAATGCGAGATTGAATGTTGACATCCGTCGCGGGTTTCCTTTCGACGGTTCGATTTTTCCCAACCGTCCGTTTCGCAACCGCGGAACGCGATCGGGAAAGGCCGCCTGTTCTCCTCGTAGGTCGCAATGAAACCTTAAATGAAGGTGAATATATACTTATCGGAAGATCGATTCTAGGTTTTCACGGTCACGCCTCTCCAGGCGTGACGAGGTATCCACGAATACATGGAAACGCGTTTCTCCGTTTTACCTTCCTGGGCCTTTCCGGGAGAATTTCAAAATATTGTCGATCCCTTCGTCGAGCATCCTTCGGCGCGAGTGCACGTTGCATTCGAAGGCGACGTTGAATCTCGGTGATATTCGTGGATACTTCGTTTTCCCATGTAACTCTTCTCATCCTTGATTTTATTTAATGATCTTTGGTAATACAGTTTTTACATTTAACGCGTAAGAACGTATCGAATTGATAAGAATACAACCTTAAACTTGCTTAAGACTAGAGCTACCGAGCACTGAAATCGCCCCTTCGAAGTTCCTATCTTCAAGAGTGCATCTATCGACTTGAATTGCCTCGCAATTCAGTTTGCGTGTTCCCAAATGAATTCCTTTAACAGCTCGTCAAAGAAGCATCCGTTGTTAATAATCGCGAAAAAAAGAAATCAGTAGTTCCAGTGTCAACGATTCCACGGACAGGATTTCTCGATTTCCGAACCGAACGAAAATATCTGTTTGCCCTGGCGTTTCGCAACGAGAACGCTTAGGGCAGCGTTTGAAATTACAGCGGTGTCCAGACTCCCGTCGAGACGGCGACATATATTGCTCGGTCGAAAACCGACTACCGGTCTTGCACGGGAGCCAGCCCGATCGTAACACGGATGATTTAAACGTTGTAATTCGCTCCCTATCTCCGTGCATCCGGTCCGTTACCGCGCTGCGCGTGTTCTCCGGCACGGCCGGTGCGTGATATAACAGGGAACGCGCGTTAAACGATAATTCCAGTCTGTCTATCGTGTACTTAAACGATGCTTTACAATTCCGTTTTACAACTTCATAACGCGCGCGCACACGGCTCCCCGGCGCGGCCGTTCGACCGTCGTTCCGAATCCTCCATTGTTTTCGCCCGCCTTAATTTATTCAAGCTTTCGAGCGCGAATTTCGTAGCGACGGTTTGCCATCTTCCCCTCTGTACATCTTATCTGCCGTTTACTAATCTCGATCCCTATCGATTCGCCCGAGAAAGCAGTATCGGCGATCGTATCGTGTCGGTACACGTACGTAAAATGTCCGGAAGAGTCACGTGCATTTCAACGGTTCTCATCGCCGTCGAAATCGAGTGTCCGCGTCGAGTCGAATCGAGTCGAATCGAGTCGTGTCGAGTCGTGTCGAGTCGTATCGTGTCGCGCGCGGCTTGACTATTCGAGAAATCTAGGCGCGTGCGATCGACCGCTGCCGTCCGCAACCACTCCTACCGCGCACAGCATCAGTTACTACGCTGTACACTGTTCCGTAACCCGTATAGGGGCGTTCGTAAAACCTACTCGCCGTCACTGTCAAGATGTTCGTTATACCGGCTAGAGACGCGCGCGCACGCGCACGCGCACCGGGACGGGCCAGCTACCTCGTAACAGCGTGCGCAACGCTGGCGAATGGAAAGCGGAGAGACCGAAACGCGAACGCGGTAACCCTCGGGGGTATATTCGAGAACGAACGAATTGCTCTTGATTCTCCTGGAAAGAGTGCACTCGAAGGAACGATCGACTCGAGGTACGACCGTAATCGCGATCGGATTCCGAGTGCGCGGAGAGCAGCGGACTCTGGGAACGGTTGTAAATAAGAAGAAAGCGACGCGGAGCGGACTGTAGCGGCGGGCAAGCACGCGGGCAAATGAGCCTGCCCGAGTGCGCATGCGTCTTGTCCCCGGCAAACTCCCCCACCACGAGTGTCCGGCCGCGTGGCGTCCTGATCAATCGCGACGTTGCCGAATCCTCGGCTGACCCGAAGTCGCTGGGTGCGAGAGAAACGGAGAAGAGGCGACGCGATGCTTCCCGGTTTGTTCGTGGCCGCCCGCCCCACTCCCCGTCCTCGTCACCGCTCACCCTGCTGACCTAGGGGAATACCCTTTCCTATCCCCACCGGCGTGGCACGTGGAGGCGCGCCTCTTTCAATTTTTCATACCTTATCGACCTGTGGATTCAGCCGTCCATACACGGGCCGAGATGCGTCCAAGGAAATCCGCGGACGGATCCTGCCCGCCGCGAAGGGATGCTGCGCGGGGAAGACACAATGAGAGAACGGTGACGTGTTGCGCGTCGATGCCTCCCGGCGCCACTTACCGCTCGCTCTCTTTCTTTCCCTTTCCCTCCGCGTGGCAACACGCGGCTGTTGCGTTCGCCGGTGACATCGCGCGCGCACCGAGATGCCAGGAATTTTCGTTTAGGGTATCGAGCGCGTGGGGTGGTTCTTTCTCGTTTTTGCCAGTCCACGCGTCCCCAAACTGTTCGGCTGGGTTTCTCTAACGTCGTCGCTTCTGTTTGTTTCAGGCGCAAAGTTGAAGAGGGAACGAACGGAGCAGGATGACTTGTTCTGCGAGGAGAAAATGCTCATTATTGACGGTAAGCCTGCTTGCCCGTTTTACGTAACGTTTTTGCAGGTGATGTTCTGGGGGAGTCGTTTGGGAGATCTGTTTTGGCACGTTCCGCGCTACGAACTTTTCGCAATTAGAACGACATTCTTGTAAGAGCGTTTATTAGTTTACAGTTCTCGTGGTTTACATATTCATAGGAACAAATGATGTAAACGTTTATTTAAAGCCCTGTCGGATATAGTGGGTTGGCAATGTCAAATAACCGGTGTGTCGCTATGCACTGTACTCCACGGTACTTACCGTAGGAGATTCACGGTTGGGTTTACCGTCTACGATACCTGTATTATCGTTCATTGTGGAATAATGGACCGGTAGGACGGCAGGTATCGCGTCACGAATCGTCCGTTGAAACTGAAACCAAAAGCGATACTCAGGAGTTAATAATGTTCTTAAAATAACCGAAAACACGTTCGATACCTCAACCGAGCGAATTACTTAACCATTCAGATTTCCATCCAATACTAATTTCCAACCGTGTTGGACAAGTTGCATCCCTTACCGTCGAAACCATCGAGAAGCAACCACTTTACAAGAAACTAGCGAACGAATCGATGATCACCCTGAGAATGGTGACCGGCACTCGTATCGGTGGTCGAGAAATCG